ATAAATTAGGCAAGGAGTTATGAGCAAAGAAAATGTGACGCAAGTCAAAAAGTTGGCTTTGCATTCAATAACAATGTCGTAAGTGTACTTGCGTCACTGTTGTTGACAGGGTTTTTATGTAAATTGACTTGTGTTATGATTGCATACAGAAAGTGTTGCTCTAAGGGAACTTTAAGTCATTATCAGAGACATCCAGTAGTTTTTGTTGACTTGCGTCATTTAGCAGGCAAACATTTTGGTGTGATTTGACTTGCGTCACTTTGGTTGCCAGAAATAAAGAAATTGTTTTGGTCTCTTGCGACACTATTGCAGACTATTTATTATTATTATTATCATTATTCTTGCTGCATCTTGACATGCGTCATTTTCATTGATTGACATGACAAAGTTTATATACTTCACAACTTTAAAGACGTCTTTATAGAAGGTGTATTAATACAACAAGAAGATGTCTGTGTTGAGTCATTTGGGGTAAGATTCGGAAAAATCTTACTGTTTGAGACTTTCTGATACATGTCATGTCATGAATTTTCAGAAAGGTGATGAAAGAGTCTCCGAAAATAACCTGTCTAAACACGCCACTTTCGAACTGGGTGGGCCTACCTTGTGAAGTCGATTTCAAGTGGATTTCAAGCATCTTGACTGAAGAAGGTATTACGCCAACGGTAGAAGTTTTTAGTCACTATAGCCACGCGACTGACAGTCCTTCCTTTGCTTGTTAAACTCGATAAATGTATCTGATTGATACACAATTACACGAATGATAGGGTTTGTTGACATCCATTGCTTACTGCGATTAGGGCGAGGCGAGGACGAATAAGGCAACTGTTAATAAGAGTGTCAAGTGCACCAGATGAGAAATTTTAGTGCGCCGCCAATTGCATTACGTTGGGGTAGACATAGCAGACGATTTGTTTTGAACGCCATCGAAATCGTTGTATTTTGAGTAAGTATACGTGTGCTCATTTTCTGATCGAGATTTCCCCTCTGAAACTAGTGTCTTTTGGAGTGAGTAGAGTATTAATAATTGACATATTTGCTTTGTGACACAGGATCCATGTTCTTAATGGGTATTGAATGAAAATAAAAAGTTACAGTAAGTTCTTTCATCCCAAATATTGTCTCATTTATTTTTTCTAGGAAATTTCAAACGGTAATTCAAATATCTATTTTCTAGTTATTCACCATTGTGGATCAGGAGATGGCAGTGCTGCTTGCCTTGCTCGCAATTCCGGAGTGGTTGGGAAGTCTAGATCCCACATACCTAAAAAAAGCACAATGCATTTTCAACACGGATTTGTGCAGGTCTGTATAATGGTTCACTTATCATTATTTGTTATTTTCTTACCTTTAGGAGTGCGGACTCTTGGATGCTCTGCCCTGTGGCGAGAACATTTATTTACTATTCCCTCCAATCCAGCAGATTTGTAGTACTATAAAGACGGATATACATTTTTATTAAATACAAATAGGATATGGAAATTTTCTGGACCTTTTTGAGAATTGCATAGACTTACTTCCTCACAATTATCACAGGTTTGCCCTGGCAATGCTTTTCTTTTGGCACCTCGCACCGTGTTCCCTTTGAAGGCGTATGAGGGTTGGTTTTCCTTTGCTGGAAGTCTGCAAAATGCAAACAGAATAAGTTTCAGTAATTAGTATTAATCAAATGAATAATAATTTAATTTTAAATTAAATAAAATCCTTTTGAAAACTGACCTGTCATAGCTGCCTGACCTTTTCATGGTCTTGGAGGCTTCGCTAGCTGTAGCTGTAGCAGTTGATCTACTGTCCGGCAACCACGATGACTTCTCTAGTTTTGTGCCATTAGTGCTGCTCAACCATGGCGTTACTTTAGCTGCTGAGGTCTCTGGCCTATTTTTAGGAGCTGGATTTTTAGTTGCATCACTATCAAACCTAAGCCATCTTTTTGCAGTATTTTGTAAGACAGGACTAACTGCTGCAGTAGTTTCTGGATAATAAAGAATAAATATTAATGACTTTGTTTCCCTCTCATCTCCCTCTAAGTTTTAAAAGCTAAACTTATAATCATATGACAACAAACTGTAGACCATTGATAAAAAAAAACATCCTAAATTTTAGAATATTTAAAATACTTACTTGGCAATTTTGGTTGTGTGCTTGCAGGGCTTGGATTGTCGTCCAAAAGGAGAGCTTTCACGCTGTGACGAGAAAATGCAAGAAGCAGAGCTGACATCACGTATGTAACAATAACTTTTATCTTATGTTGTTTGTATAACATGAGAAATATTTTATCACAGTAATATTTTTTCTGTTGTGCGGGATTTAGTCTCATGAGGAGGCCTGTTATTCTGTCCTCACCTTAAAAATATTTTGATGACTGATCTGTGATTGGCTTGCAAAGCTAATCACAGATCACGTCTTTAAAATATTTTGGAGGTGAGGACAGAATAACAAGAAGGCCTGCTCCGCCTCATGCGAGACTAAATCCTGCAGCAGTATAAAGGTGAATTTAAGATGCGGACGCTGCGAGCGTTTCTGTGACGCTACCGGTTCGAAACAAGGTGAAGGGGGGAGTGGCTGTCGACATCTCAAAATCCTCCCTACTCCCCCCTCACCCTTGTTTTGATCGAAAGAACGCTCCGAGCGTCACAGAAACACTCGCAGCGTCCACATCGTAAATTCACCTTTACTGTTAAAAGATAGATTGTCATTATTATGAGGTTAGTGATCAATTCGTTCTTTATTGACAAACCTTGTTTTGCTTGGGAAGCAAGCAAAACAAATCATTTTGTTTTCTTTATTGACAAACCTCTCTTTGCTTGGAAGCAAGCAAACAAACCATTTAGTTTAAAAGTAATTACCTTTTAAGCAAAGTCTCCATGCGAAGATTTTCCTTCTCAAGTTCACGGCACTTTTTTTTGTATACATCCAACTCTATTTTGTCACACATTTTGTCACAAGAGTTCAAATCAAATAAATAATACTGGACGTTCGTTGTTTTGTGTTGTGTCACAGGTTCACTCGTCCACCTTACTGGATCATCAGGTCGTCAGCCTCGAAGCTGTTACCAACGTCACCGTCGGTGAAACGTACGGATATCTAGTTTGCTGTTGGGCTACATCGAAATGGATAGTAAATTTAGGTACTAAGCATTATTTTTGGATCTTTCTTTATGGTAACTCGCGTTTAAAGCCATTCGTAACGATAAATTGAAACTTTTACAGAGTTCGTAATGTTGGTGTCACTTGACAGCCAAACCCAGGCCAGGGTTAACGAACTAAGTTGGCGGGCTTTACTTGCGTCTGGACGTCAACTCTCTCGTTTGGCGTCATCCTTTTCAACATTTCGTGAGTAATTTTGTGACTTGATGAACTGCTGAAACGCTTCATAAAATTGGTGTGGTTTGCATTGTGTTATTTTTTGGTTTCAAAGTGCGATGTGACATAAGGCTCGCGTCTTCATCGCATACGGTTATCCCCCTCGTTCAGAAAGACGTGATTCAGCAGTTTAAAAAAAATCCTTCTTTGCAAAAATCTGTTTTAGGCAGTGATAAAATCCTTGTTGTGTATGGACTATCTTAGTTCTATCACATATTGAGAGTTTAGTATCAAAATACAGAATTTCACTATCTGCTAATCAGCAGGTTAGGTTAGATAGATCCTAGTTTCCCAGATCAAGTTGGTTATTTTGTTCAATTTTTCATTTAAAGTGCGGGCGTTGGGCTTTAATTGGTTCTATTTAAGTCAGTAGTCTGGAAGATTCAATGAACTACTTTCGCAGTTTGTTGAGTGTCTAAAAGTATTCTCACTAAATACAAAAAAAAATGTGTCCGATTGGAAGTTAGCATTTATCTCGGATAGTAGTATACCAAAGTTGAACTGCGTTGCCTAT